GCGCTTGTGTTGTACCTTTTTTGTGAGCTTTTTTTCCTCTCCCCCTAAAACCGGGGGGGCGCGGGATGCTAACAGAGCCGGGCTTGCGGGCCGGCGCGGCCGTCGAGCCGCCGCTGCCCGCTCCTTTCATCCGCTCCCAAACTTTACTTTTCTCTTGGCGACAGTCAAAAGCGTTTTCTGCAAACGTTGAGCCTGCTTCTTGAAGGGGGAGGAAAAGGAAAAAAAAGAAAAAAGTAGCAAGCTGTCGGGCGAAAGCGCGGCGTGCCTGCGCCGCTATCTTGGAAAAGAGCATAAAAGATGCTTGCAGATTAATACTATTAAGTAGGATTTAAAAAAAATAAGGCAATTGAGGTTGGATAATGCCCTACATAACAAACCGGCTCTATTCTCCGGCTCCTGGAAGGTCCTTGCGTGCCCGGGGGGTTATTTAGCATGTCTTTGACAAAGCTGAACGATTCGTATTGAAATGGCACTTTAGGACTCCGCAGCTCTCGTCCGCCCCGGACTTTGCGCGCGCTCCTTTACACCTGAGCAGCGGCGTAAAACGCCAGGCGATCGCCTTCGTCGGCCACACAGGGGGCAAAGCAGCGTAACGCCACGCTCAGCCGGCGCCGGGATAAAGCCCCTTTAAAGGGCGCCTTCGAGCAGCGCAGAGAGGGCAGGGATTTGGGGCGAGCTGCTCGGGGCTTTTCTCAACCCCGGCCGGCGTAAATCCCCCCGCTGCCACCTCCGTCGCGCGGCCGAAAGGAGCGGGCCCAGAGGCAGGCTTCAGGGGGTCCATCTGATCGCCGGACGGAGCGACGAAGGAGCCGATTTCCCCAGCTGGAGCATGTTCAATAAAGCATCTTTGAAAACGCATCTATTTTTCCTCCAGTAAATAGCCGCGGCTTTGGAAAGCATAATTGCTACTTAGACTTCCCCGGACCCTATGCAAGCAACAGATGAGTTTTGCTGCAAATAAATTCAGTTAAAAAACCTGAAAGCTCCGGGATGCAATCAGTGTAGAGGATATTTCACGTATTTTTTGCTACAACGTCTCCAGCATAAGGAGACCTGCGTGCCCAGAGGATTTGCATCATCCCGGCTTAGGAGCCGGCTCGATGCTACAGCTGGTCCCAAAGCAGGTGACGTGAAAAGGGGCTTTTGCAGCAAACTCGAAGCCGAGGAAGATGCCTCGCAGGGTGTAAAGCAGCCCCAGGGAACGGCGGGGCTGCAAGGGACGGTTTTGCCCCCAAACCGCTGTCCCCAGTGAGACCAAGGATCTGCCATGGGGCAGAATGGTGGGAATAAAGGGAATAGGATTCACCGGGAAAGATGAATCCTGTCCTGGATAAAACAGGTAAAAAGACGAAAAGGAGAGGAATCAGATCGCCACATCTAATGCAAGGCAGCAGCAGGAGAAGGAGATTTTAGAAACAAGACAGTGCATGTATTTTGTAAGATATTTGGCGGGAGGGGGGGTTAGAATTAAGATATATTAATGGATAGGTTTACTAAATGGATTTAGTAAATCCCCTTTGTCCCTTTTCACGGTGATTTGGGACTCAGTTATTTGGCCCGTTTTAGAAGGAAACTTCCCAAATATTTTCGGTGTCCAGCCAGCAAAGTCAGCCCAATTTCAAACTTTTCAAAGGTTCAAGGAACTTCACTTCTGCCCCCAAGAGCTTCTTGGCAAGACTCGCTTTTCCTCGTTCTGCAAAAATAAAAAATAAAAAATAACGGGTTGTTTTTTATGCCAGGTCAATATTTCCTCCCAAAATCACATTTTTCAGTCCTTCATTCCATTTTCCTGACCGGATTTGTTTTGTGGTCATGGGACAAGATATTCGCCACGCTTTGTTATTGTCCATTTTTCTGAAAGAACCGATTGCATTAAAATCTCTCTCGGCAAGACAAAAACCACCAGATGATTAATTTGAACACAAGGCAAGCTCTTTGGGGCTGATTCTTTTAGAAGATACCTTTGCTCAGAGCGGCTGTTGCACGGCGAAGCTTGCTGAACTGCAGCTGAAATGAAAAGCATGCTGCACGGGTAAGGACACTACATAGCGCTCTCAGATTTATGATGTACAACGCCTTTTTGCACCACCTACCTCTATATGGAGGTATAGACAAAAGAATGGCATAAATTACACAGCGCAGAGTTTCTATCGCGGCAGATACCTGTAGCAAACTTTGCACATTTGCCCCAATTTTTGGATCGGTCGCACAAGCGTCGGCTTCTTAGTTGCGCTTAGCAAATCTCTCTGTTAGAGGGAGGGTTTCTGGCCGTGCGCGAAGCTTCTCTGCCTTTCGCCCGCTTTCCCACCACCAAACCCCAGGTCGGGGGCTTCCCCCTTGGAAATGAAAAGCCCACAGTGCCTAGCCTCAGCGGCCGGGAATCGCGAGGGATGGAGGGAAGGGGAAACAAGCCCTTGAAAGCAGTTTCCTGACCTGCGGCAGTGGAGGCAGGCGCTCGGCGCAGAGAGCGTTATCCTCCTTTTTGAAGGGCTGCCTGCAAACCGTGGCTGTCCCTAGGTCGCACGAGTCGAACCCGGCGTGGCTCCTTCGACGCCGGCGGGCGTCCCAGTTGGGGCCGGCCTGGAGCATCTCGAACCCTTTAGGATTTGCCTGGAGCACCTCGAAAAGAAAGAAAGAAAGAAGGAAAGAAAGAAAAAATCATCCTAACTCCAGGGCTAAGATACCTCCCAGGCCTTCCCCCGTCAGGGCAACGTGGGGCTGCTTTTATTTTTGTTATTCCTCCTCCAAGCCAGCAAAAAAAAACCAGGTGAAAAGACACCCGGGTTTCCAGTGGCTCATAGAAACAATAGGCGAGACCCAGGTGCAGAGCTCCTCCGGGATTGCCCTAAATCCATCCCAGGCTGCCGCTTTCTGCCGCGGCATCCGGCCTTGAGCTTTGCCCTGGACCCAGCAGCCGGGTTTTCCAGTCCCGGGGGCATCACGGCGGGGTTTAACTCGGGTAGCTCGAGCTCCCATCTCCCTTCTTCAGCGATGCCTGTTGCCTTTTTTGCAACGCTGCTTTTTTTGAGCGTTTCCCTCTCTCTGGGGCTCCTGCTTCCATCAGCTCCCGTTTCTTGCACAACGCTGGCAGCCTCTGCTACCCGCTTTAATTCCCTCGCAGAGAGGCAACTGGCTATTTTTTTTAACTCTTTTTCGTTTGTTTTGCAACACAGCCTCCTTCAGCCTCCCAGGAGCCGAGTTAAACATCCCTTAAGACATACACATTTTTTTCCTCTGATTAGGGAAAGTTGCACAAATCACGGCCCTAGAAACGGGGGAAAGGCGCCAAACGGATGCAAATGCACAGAGCAGGCGACTGCTCCCCATCACTTGCTCCCTGCTTGCCCGTTTCTCCACCAGCAAGCATACTAATATTATTAATTCCCATGCCATGCTTTACGTTTGCGGCTGCCTGTTGGCGGAGCTGCTGGTTCGAGCCGACGCTCCGGTCCCCGGCCTCGGCAAGGGTGCAAAGTTTGGCGTCAGAAAGGAGCTGGTGGGCTGACAGGCCTGCAAACAGCTGGTGACTGACAAGTCTATTAAATTAAAAAACAAACAACAAAAAAAAACCTCCAACGAAACAGCGCAACAGGCTGAAGGGGCAGATCTTGACGGATGTGCCCTGTCTATTCAATCCGTTCCATGTTAACCCCTGGCTGCATGGAATTGCAAAGGGAACAGGTCCTCGCACACGTGGGTCCCCCAGCCCGGCACATAGAAAAGTGGCAAAGCCGCTTTTGCAAAATAATAACAACAATAAAAAAAAAATCTTTGCCACAATTCCCTCCCCTCCTT